TTCAGGTTTCTTCGTTCAAGTGAAAGATTTCTCGCTTGAGCGAGAGAGAAATAATCTATCATAATTTTATATATTTGATTATTTTAAAATTATGATCGATTAGTTCAAATTATAATCGATTATAAATTTTTTTGCTCAAGCAATGGATGTCTCGTTTGAGCGAGAATTGACCACGGTTCAACACAGTTACCCAATCAATTCTCGCTCGAGCGAAATAACTCGTCGATTGAGCGAGAATTGACCACAGGCTAAACGTCCAACGCAGTTAGCAATATAATGCAACTTGGGTCACCACATATGTCAATCACTTCTCGCTCAAGCGAAAGTACACATCGCTTGAGCGAGCATTGACCCAAAATTACCCATTAGTTTCAGGTCTCCTCACTCAAGCGAAGGGTTTCTCGCTTGAGCGAGAGAGAAATAATCGATTACAATTTTCTATATTCGATTATTTTAAAATTATGATCGATTAATTTAAATTATAATCGATTATATAATTCTTCGCTCAAGTGATGGATGTCTCGCTTGAGCGAAAATTGACCACGGTCCAACGCAGTTAGCCAATCAATTCTCGCTCGAGCAAAATTACTCATCGCTTGAGCGAGAAATGACCACAGGCTAAACGTCTCACGCAGTTAGCCACATAATGCAACTTGGGTCACTACATATTTCAATCACTTCTCGTTCAAGCGAAAGTACCCGTCGCTTGAGTAAAATATAACTTGATATTAACCATTTGTTACAGCTCTCCTCGCTCAAGCGATGGATTTCTTGCTTGAGCGAGAGTTGATCTACGCGAAATAATTGATCATAATATAAAATAATCGATTATTTTAATACATGAACAGATAAAGAGTGCTAGTTGGGTAAATAATGTTCCAAATGTGCTATTTTGGGAAATATTTTTTAAAATAGTATTATTTATGAAAAAAAAAGTCTATGGTTTTGAGATTCTCGTGTAAAATCATACTTATTAAGAAGATACTTGTTACTACAAAATTCGTATAATAAATAATAACCAATAGTAAATGTCACGAAAGAGATTCAAATTCATGTAAAATAATAACCAATAGTTAAAAGGAAATGTTAGGATTATGAGAGGCTAGAAAAAAAAAAAACTCATGATCAAAGAAGGATTTTTTATCAACAACAATTTTTTAAATATTTTATTTTCTTAAGAAATAGAATTTAAATTATGAAACTTACTATATGTGACGTCTTTTTTTTTTTATCAAGATATTAACCATATTTTAAGATATTAATACTTTCTATTAAATATTGACAAAAGTAAGATATGATATAAATGTTTATATATTTATATGTACAAATATGTGAGCTTTACAAGTTTACATTGTTTTTATATCAGAAACAATTATTAAAATTGACAAAAAAAAATTATTCTAACAGTAGTTTAATGATACGTGTCTTTCATCTTGATGTGTCCATCTATTTATGTTGATATTTTAGTTGTAAACATGCACAATAAATAATAACAAGGAAGTAAGAACAATTATTATTTGAAATAATATCATCTTACAATGATATATAAAATATATTTTTCAACTTCCTCAACATATATATTTCATTTATTCCATTTATGAAAATTTAAATTAAATTTGTAGTGACTAGTCAGGAGGCATGACAACAGGCGGGGCGGGACAAGTTTTACCTCCCCGATCCCTGTAGGACTAGAAATTAAGCTTTCATCCCCGTCCCTATCGGATTTCGATTTCGGATTTCCCACCTTCGCTTCATTCTCGATCTATATTATTTTTAAAAATATAATTATATTTATAATAAATTAATTTTACTATGTATGTTTTATATATAAATAAATGTTTATAATTTCATAATTTTTAATTATTATTAATTAAATATATATTTTAATTTATTATATTTATATTAAAATATGTATATGTACGTAAAAGAAATATTTAATTATTATATATATATATATATAATATTTATAACATTATTATTATTGTTATTATTGTTATAAGATCCAAAAAATATGACATAATAAAACCTAATAAATATAAATTATAAATAAAATAATATTAGTTACTACTAATATTTATCTAAAATATTTTAAAAAAAATAAAGAAGAAAAAAATTAACTTTGTGTTCATCAAATTAGTTGAAAAGATAAAAAAAAAAATTGATTGGAGAGATTAAGGAGATGTTAAAAACTGAAAAGTAAGGAAAAGAAAATAATGTAATAAATTAATTGATACAAAAGATTATAAAAGACAAAAAAAAGTGGGTAAAAAAAATTAAAATGGTAAAATATAAAAAATGACCTTATATATAATAGAAAAAGAAAATAAAATACTTTTAAAATATTAATATTTTAAAATTTAAATTTAAATATAAAGTTGGGGTGGGGATTGCATTACTCATCCTCGTCCACGCCCCGGTCAACTAGGTTTTTCCCGTCAAACTCGGGCGGGGACGAGTCGGTCCTCACGAGTATGAGTTTAATTGTCATCCTTAGTCGAATAAATGAGCTTAATTTTAATCACTCTCTCAACGATATTTCCTCATTTCAATCTCTAAGGTCCAACCTCCATCTACAATATGATCAAATCTTCATAAATAAATATTATTATTTAAAAACAATCAAATAATATAAATATAAATTAATAAATAAGATCAATGCATAATTGAAGATAAAATAAAATAAGCAAACAAGACCAATACCTAACTAGAGATTAGGGATGACAATTAAACTCGTCCACGTGGGGACCGAGCCGCACCCGCCCGAGTTTGATGGGGAAACCCGAGTTGACCGGGCGAGGCGGCGGGATGGGTAATGCAATCCCCACCCCGACCCCGACTCCGACTTTATATTTAAATTTAAATTTTAAAATATTAATATTTTAAAAGTATTTTCTTTTCTTTTTCTATTACATATAAGGTCATTTTTTTATATTTTACCAATTTTTATTTTTCTTCTACCTATTTTTTATTTTTTTGTCTTTTTTAATCTTTTATATCAATTAATTTATTACATTATTCTCTTTTATACCTTGCAGTTTTTCATATTTCCTTAATCTTTCTCATCAATTTGTTTTTTTTTCAATCTTTTCAATCAATTTGATGAACACAGTTAATTTTTTTATTCTTTATCTTTTTCTAAATATTTTACATAAATATTAATAGTAACTAATATTATTTTATTTATAATTTATATTTATTAGGTTTTATTATATCATTTGTTTATCTTATTATTCTTATTTATCATATATCAAATTTTATCTTAATAAAATAATTGTATTTTAAAGGATTAAAGGAATTGATAATTTAAACTTTTATTACTTTGAACTAATTGAATAATAATTAACTTATTAAATATTTCATTATAAACTATATATTTCATACTTTTAAATGACAACTTAAAAATGAATTAACTTATATATATATATATATATATATATATAATCAAATGTTTGAATACAAGTATTATAATAATAATAATGATAATGTTATAAGTATTCAAATATTTGAATACATGATTATAATAATAATAATAATAATAATAATAATAATAATAATAATAATAATGTTATAAATAAAAAATGATTAAATATTTCTTTTACATACATATTTTAATATAAATATAATAAATTAAAATGTATATTTAATTAATAATTATTATAAATTATAAAATTATAAATATTTATTTATATATAAAAAATAGATAATAAAATTAATTTATTATAAATGTAATTATCTTTTTAAAAATAATATAGATCGGGGACTGGCGGGGACGGGGACGGGAACCCGAAACCCAGCGGGGACGGGGATGGAGACTTAATTTCTAACCCCGGCGGGGACGGAGATGATTAAAAAAGTCGGGGGCGGGGATCGCCCCACTCCGTTGTCATGCCTACGTAGAGATAAATAAATAAGACCAGTGCGGGACTAGAGATAAATTAATAAACTTAAGGCAGGACTAAGCACATAAACTGAAGATAATAATTAAAATAGGATCAGTGTACAACTGAAGATAAATAAATAAACGTAAAATAGATCAGTAAGTAGTTGAAGATAAATAAATAAGTAAAAAAAATAAAAATAGAATGAGGTTAGGAATAACTCACTCCACAACTATAATTAAAATAAAATAGATAAAATAATAATAATATCTTCCTCTACCTTAATAATAGAAAATGTTGCACAAAAAAATTTCCATTAAAATTATTTTTCTTTCTCCCTCTCTCTCCTTCCTATCCCTTTCTTCTTTATTTCTTTCTTGCTCTCTCTTCTCTTTCCCTTCCTTCTCCTTCAATCTTTTTCTTCTCCTACATAACCCCTCCCCTTCCCATTTATAACCATAATTTTTTTTCCTTTTGGATAAAGATTATCTCTTCTTTATTTTTTATTTTTTTCTATCATTAATTAAAACTTATCTTGAAAAGATAATATTCTTATCTTCATCTATTTTTTATTAGATTTATATATATATATATATATATATATTAAAAATTTAAATAATATATTTTGTAATAATAATTTAAATTATGATTATTATTTTAATAAATATATTTTTTATAATAATTTAACAAATATATATATATATATATATATTTACATAAATGAATCTTTTATTTTAAATTATCCAAAATATTATTTGATATATTATATTTTAAAAAAATTACATAATCAATTTTAAATGTTATATTATACCTTAACACAATGAATGGATAATTTAGTTAATATAAGATGATTTATATATAGTTATAACTCTTACTAGAATTAATATATATATATATATATATATATATATATATATATATAATTTTAAAAAATATTTTTTAAAAGTAAAATAGTAATAAATTAAAATTTAAAAATAAATAACATTTTAAATATGATAACGAGAATATGTGATGTAGATTTTTTTTATTGGAATAATATTGATTCTTAAAAAAAATGTTTTTAGTGCGGGTGATTTTGTGAAATGAAATGATTTGGTCACAGATAAAGAGGAGTGAAATGACGGTTGAAAGAGGAAGATGATTGTGTTTTGTTTTGGGAATACGAAGATGAAGGCGCGATGCGGCAGAGACAGTGACATTGAAGAGAGTAAATTTCTTCAATGTTCCACTTGTACGGTCAAATAAGCTCTGCCCTCTATTTATTTCATTGCCATTCTGTGTGGGGACCCTAACCCTACTTTCTTTCCTCCACATAACGGTTATGTCAAATCATATCACATTTTTTCTTTCCTATGGATAATTTACTTTAAATTAGTTTCGTTTTGTTTTCTCAAATAAGTTCAAAATTCAAAATTTATATTTTACCTTATGTATCATAATAATCATTTAATAAAAAGAATTCATTTTATCATCACAACAATTATTTATTTTTAACATATACTCACTATCTGAAGTTATTATTTTATATTTCTAATCCACAAGTAGAATTTTTTATTATTATTTTCATTAGACTTTAAACATCTTTAAATCTATCGACCTTTGGAATAAAGTTATTCAAGATGGATTAGCTTTTAATTATTTTATTATATTTTATGAAGTTATTCCAAGTCATTTTCTTATTTCCATTATAACTCCTTCACATCATTTTATTTTATTCAAAATCATTTTTAAACTAAAATTATTAAATAAGTTTTTTTCCTACTTATTCTAAACATAGTTCTTCAAAATGATAATCAAAACTAATTTATCTAACATTTTTTATATTTTTAAAAAAATTATGAAAATATATTAAGTCATATTTCGTAAAACGAATGTAAAAAAAAATTGTATTACGTAATTATAAATTTTTTAATTAAAATTGTGTTATCTATTTTATATATATATATATATATATATATATATATATATATATATATATATTAAGTATTGTATATTGTTTCCGTTAATGAATGAGAGTGTTTTAATCTCATATCCGTTATTATAACATTATCAGGGTCAATTCCCATATTTGATGTATTATCTGTTTTGAAACTTTTGTCCGTCATGATTTTGTTCTTAAAATGTGCATCAATAGATTAAGAGAAGATATTTTATTTATATTACTCTTGATATGGATTCCTAAATTATGTGAGATTTTATGATAATAAAATAATATTTCATAATTAAAATGGTTCACAAAATATGGACTCTTGATATGGACTCCTAAATTACTAAGAATCCAGTAATGCACTCTAGGACTAAGCATATAGAAATTAGACATCATTTTTTGAGAGATCATATAAGCAAAGGAAACTGTAAAATTGAGTATGTTGATACAAAGCACCAATTAGCAGATATTTTTACTAAGCCTCTACCCAAGGATAGATTCTATGATCTTAGAAGAGACTTAGGGATATCATAAATATCTTAAATTCTGATTAATTAGACAGTTTTTGGATGATTGCAATGTTATAATTCATTATGAAGGATGTTAATAGATTATCATGTGTATAAACCTCAAAAATTTGATGAACTCTCTGGAATAATCGATTATTTGGAGTTATAATCGATTATTTGCACCCAAAACATGACATTTCTCTCTAGATTAATCGATTAACTCGCCAGATAATCGATTAAACTCAGTGTTAATCGATTAACAACTTGAATTAATCGATTAAATGGGTCTGATACTAGTTTAATCGATTAATTCAAGATTTAATCGATTAAACCTGGCAAGTTTTGATTCCTAGCCGTTGCCACCGGCTCTCTTGACCCTTATTCCCTTCCATATGACCGTTGGAGATGCTTGGTTATAAATAGGGACCTCCATTTCACTTATACTCACTTTGCCTTCTTTTGACATCACTTGTCCTCCTAAATCTTCTTGTTACTCTTCTAATCCTACAATGGCCTCATCTTCTCGTGCTAAAATTCTCACCAGAAGAAGATCTGCACCCTCATCTCATCCCCGTCCTAATTCTGTAGAAGGATGGATCTCTGATGCTGAAGGCCGACAAGAATTTATGTCTTATTGGAAGGAACGTGGTATTATTTCTACTAAATTCCTTATTGGTGATCAGTTCATCAATAGGGGATTCAACTTTCCTAATCTCCTTGAAATTCAAGGAGTTCTCCCTTTCATCCAAATGCAAGGTACGTATTATCCTGACTTAGTTAGGGTATTTTACTCTTGGTTCAAATTCAGAGATCAAATAGCTACCTCTCGTGTAAAGGGGGTAACAATTATTCTTGATGATGATATTTGGGAAAACGTTGCCCATTTTCCTATAAGAGAAGATGTGATACAAACCAACCAGTGGACCCAGACCCAATAAGGAAGGATGACCCAATAGTAAGAAAACGAGCAAGAAAGAAGCCAGCGTGGATGACTGATTATGTCTGCGGACAAAATTAGAAGATCCTGATATGCTCAAATTAATTCCTGAAATTTCTGCTGCAAATTATTAGTTTAATTCTTATTTTATTTCCCTAATTTTTGCTTGATTGTTAGCACCCAATTCCTTTTAATAGCTATGATGTAATCAAAACAGAACAGAATAAAAGTTTTCAAGATCCTTTTTCCCCCAAATTCTATTATTCTCTTTCCCTTAATTTTCTGAGGAGTGGACACTCACTCGAAGAGTGTTAAAACCTTTGAGCATTCTGCAGCAGAGTGTATCATTGGTGCTTTCATCATGAACACAATTGAGCTTATGAGCACCCTTCAATCCAATATCGATGCACAGATGGTAAAGTTTCACGAATTACTCGAGTTCCATACCAAGTCAGTTCATTCCACACTCCACCAACACCTGGTAGAAGTTGATTCGAAGGTCGCAAACTTACACGTCGAAGGCAAAAAACAACCACAGAATTCATTTGCCGGACAGACGTCACGTGCGCTGAAATTAAACGTACCACATTTTGATGGTTCCAATCTCTTGGATTGGATTTTCCAGATTGAAGTTTTCTTCAACTTCCACGAAACTCTGGAAGAGTCCCGACTTCAGATCGTAGCCTTTCATCTTGACGGACGCATTGCTGGCTGGTTCCAATGGGCAACACGTAACAATTTGTTACCATCGTGGCCAATTTTTCTCACCGCTGTTCGCCACCGCTTCGGTCCAACTCAGTACGAAGACATTGAAGGTGAACTCTCCAAATTAACTCAAACCGGCTCTGTAGCTGATTTTCAAGCCCAGTTTGAAGAATTGATGAACAAGGTCAACGGTATCTCCGAATCACTACTGATCAGTTTTTTCATTACGGGACTGAAAAAGCATTTGAGACGGGAATTGCAATTTCACCGACCTGCTACGTTAATGGAAACCTTCGCCATGGCCAGAGCATATGAGGCCCGTTTTGATGACACACCAACCATAGGCAAATTGTGGTCTCGCGGCCCACAACACTCCACAGGCTCACATACCCAACCTAACCACAATCAAACAAACCGATCCAATTCAAATCCAAATAACCCATCAAACAATACTGCAACATCGTTACCACCACTCTTACCCACATCACACTCAAACCCTGCCGTGCGGAACATGCCCTCTGCCGAACTCCGAGACCTCCGTTCAAAAGGTCTTTGTTTTAAATGTGATGAGAAATGGAACCCATCTCACCGATGCCAAAACCGCGTGCTTATCCTCATGGGAGCGGATGAAGAGGAAACCCCACCGGAATCCGAGGATAACTCAATAGATGATGTCTCGGGTGACATATCCGGCCTTTATAACCAAACAAAATTCACCATCCTCATTGACAGCGGGAGCACTCACAACTTTATCAAGCTTGCGTTAGTGGAACGATTGGGGTTACCTATCAAACCATGCCCTCGTTTCAAGGTCGCAACTGGTTGTGGAACCTTCTTGGTTTGTCAATTTTGCTGCCATAATGTCCCTCTTATCTTACAGGACATTAAATTTGAGGTAGATTTGTTTATCCTGAACATTGAAGGTCCCGATGTTGTGTTGGGCTTTCCTTGGTTGCAATCTTTGGGCAAAGTTGCTCATGATTATTCGGCTCTCACTATGGAGTTCATGTGGCAAGGGACCCAAGTTACTTTAGTAGGTGATACCTCTCTAGCCTCATAATCAGTGTCATTGCATCAGCTTCAAGCATTGGTTCACACCAATAATGTGACCAGTGTTTTTACCATCACGACGTCCCTTCAAGACGTTGATTCTCTCCCAGAACCATCCAGCAATTTTCCACCCAACCTACCCAACCCAGTTACTGATCTATTACAACGTTTTAAGTCCATTTTTTCTACACCCACATAATTGCCTCCTCACAGAATGATTGACCATCACATCCATCTTGTTGAAGGATCCAAGCTAGTCAATGTGAGGCCCTATCGATATCCTCAATTTCAAAAATCTGAAATGGAGAAGTTGATCCGAGAAATGCTTGATCAATGCATCATCGTCCCTAGCCACAGTCCATTTTCTTCACCCGTCTTATTGGTAAAGAAGAAAGATGGTACATGGAAATTTTGTGTGGATTATAGATCGTTAAATTCTGTTACAGTTAAGGATAAATTTCCAATTCCAACCATTGATGAACTTTTGGATGAGTTGGGTGGCGCAAGAATATTTACAAAACTGGACTTGCGTGCAGGGTACCATCAAATTCGGGTTCATCCGAGTGACACTTATAAAACGGCGTTCCGCACACATGAGGGCCATTTTGAATTTCTTGTAATGCCGTTTGGACTTACTAATGCACCGTCAACATTCCAAGCCGCAATGAACCAATTGTTTTCTCAATACTTACGAAGGTTTGTGATTGTTTTTTTTTTATGACATACTGATATATAGTGCCTCTATTGAAGATCAATTGCAACATTTAGCATTGATTTTCACTTCCTTAAAAACTCATTGTTTTTTTGTGAAACTGTCCAAATGTCTATTCTGTCAACCTGGGGCTTCCAATAAAGTGGCTGACGCACTTTCACGTGTGCCGGCTGACTGGCCAGACAGTGACCACACACCCGCACTCAGAGCATTAGTGTCATCACCTACATATGGTATTATTACTCAGCTCCAAAAAGATAATGCTTCAGATTTTTTCTATCAGACTTTTTGGGAACAACACATTCAGGGATTGCTCTGGTACCCTTATACTATCGTGAATGGGGTCCTCTTCCATACCGGTCGTTATGTGATCAACCCAACATCTCCTCTATGTCATACAATCATTAGCGAATTTCACGATACACCAAGTGGTGG